GTGCTTCGCGCGTTCACAGTGTGCTCTGCAGAGGCCACAGATCATCCCATCTACATGGAAGGTCCCTCTTGAGAAAAAGGAACCGCCGTTTCTGCTCCATAAAAACTCCCCTTGACCATAAAAAAGATGACATACATCAGCAGCTGCAAGAGGAGTCCATAAACAATACATTACAATAAGGAGCAGCCAGAGGTCACGTCTGAGAGCATCAACCAGAGTGGCCCCAGGCAGGACCTGACACAGGCCCCCAGAGTCATTCAGCAGAGGTGTTTGCCAGAAGAGGATCTGGTCCCTGGCTCATGTTCGCAACAGAGGAGCCCAGGAATTATGAATCTTATCAAAGATTGCCCATTAACAACAAGTAGAATGGAACTCCAGTTCTTGTGTCTGTTTTTATAACCAGAACTGAGCAAATAGCAATAGCAGGATTGTGGGGTGGATTTTTTTCTTTTTAAGAAGAGAACAGTAATATATGATTACAGTTATTGGACTGCAGGAGCTGATGAGAAACGTGACTGAGATTCGTGCGATTACTCAAAATCTGACCTTCAGAAAAACCACGTATGTGCCTGCAGTGATTTGCTCCCAGAGGTCAGAGCTTCAGCTTTGTGGTGAAGGTGGGTCTCTGTGGCTACCGGGTGGATACTGCTCTATTCACTTCACCAAGAGAAACAGAGCAGCACATATATGCCCACTGTGCTCACAGACGATACTGCACTTCCTAGTGTGCCCTGTGCTGTTCACTGGAGAGGGTAAGGCTGGCATTAGACCTTGCCTTGCACCCAGGGTGGACATAAATCATCTCAAAACTATGAAAAAGGGCTAAGTCTGGAAATCGTGGCAAAGTGTATGCTGAGTGAGCGTCTGCAAGAAGGCCACCCTCTCTTACTCAAGATTTTGGTATGTATCCCACGGAAAGGCAAACAAAATTAAAGCACGTTGCTTCAGTTTTACACCATCTTGCCATAAATCTACTCTCTGTGTGAATTATGGCAAAACTACATGCAGCTACTGAGCTTCTGTCTTAATGCACCCGCACTGCAGATGGGTTTTGTCCGTACGTGTTTTGGCAGACAGACCTGGCTCACATTCAAATTCTGTATAGCATACAGGGGGGAAAAAGGGGTGGGAGGGGGTAGGTGTTTTTTTAAGATACCTTGTTGGCTTGTTTACATAGCTAATTATCTTTGGAAAGTTAATTGTTGTATTTTCTGTCTGCATTTTTGCTGCATTCTGTATTTCTGCAAGCCAGGATGATCAAAGAGAAACACGAAGCAGGCCCAACAAGGAGCCGCTCCAGCAAAGTCCACATGCTGCAATTAAAGGCAGCTGTGCCATGGCCTTTGCAAACTCACATCTTCAACATACAGCCCTAGTCCTGTATTGTCTAAAATTGTCCAAAAAAGCCTTGTTAAAAAAAAAAAAAAAAAAAAAAAAAAAGTCTACCTTTTCCCAATAAGAAATGTGTTTTTTCATTAATTACTTTTGTCAAGAGCAGCATTGGCTTTCCATGAAATGCTGGCTTGTCCTTGGAGCCACCCCTGCCAAATGGAGCTTTCATCTGACAACAGATGATGTTCTCAGAGTTCTGGCAGTTGGCGTGGAACACTTTCAGGTTTCACTCTTTTAATGAAGTCTTGAGCACCTTGGTGGCGTGCTGCAGGCTTTCTTGCTTTTAGTTTGCTATTTTGACACAGTTCCACCATATAAGATACAAAGATGGGAGACTCTTTTTCACTGGCTGCTTGATTGCATTTGTGGTCAGGATATAACAAAGATAATATTTTACTTTGGGAACTCACTTTCTGACTCGCCATGGGGATTTCTGTGTCTCCTTCATTCCTATGAGACAAATATTTCCTGGAGTGTGCTCTTCCGTTTCTACTTTTGACATATTTAGCAAGAACTTCCTTGACGTGTTATTTTCATTTGAAATTATGAATAAATAAATAAAATTGTACGAAGCTTTGGGTTTTTCCATCCCTACCTTTCTCTCCATATTTCTCCCACCTTTTTTTTTTTCAACCTCTTCTGCTGAAGTCAAGCTCTGTAGTCACTGCCACTCTACTGCCAACAGATACAGATTAATTCTCAATGCCTTCAATTGCTATCCTGCCATTATTTGCACTTGTAATATATTCCAGCTGTGACAGCACCCGAACCCTTCCCTCTGTCTCCCACAGCTGTGTTTTCCTGGCTCAGCATTCCCCAGTCTCCGTGGCACCGCTACCAGTGTCCCAGCACAGACCAAGAGCTGGGCTGCGGGTGGTGGCAGCCCTGCCCCAGGTGGGAACAATTATGGGAAGGGGTCCTAGCCTGGACCTAGCATGAGTTACTGCTGATAGCACCCAGATAAGCTAACTTAATAAAGCAATGGCTTAATCAAGCCACATTCCTTGCATCTTGCCTTTTGTCCTGACTCTCTGGGGTGATGCTATCGAGCAGCTACATGGAGCCGGGGGCTGTGCCAGTGCATTGGTGTGTTGGGTATAGGAGGAACAAGTGGAAAGCTGAACAGAGTTATATCCTCTCAGATTTATTGGTATAAAACGCTTGACCCTAAATCAGAACCTGTAGGGCCACTCTCCTCCTTCCAACTGCTGAAGCTCCCCTTTAAATCTGTAACAAAAAGTCCTGAGAGTTCCTCCTTTCAAAAACAATCCTTAATGTTAATGAAACAACTTAATTTCCCTGTGGTTCCATATTTCAGAGACTGATCTTCCTGCCCGGCTGTGTATGTGTTGGTGTTTGCTGCATGCTTGCAAGCACGGCTGCGTAGCAACTGCTGACCTGAAAGTTATTCAGTAGCGAAAATTATCAGTGGGGACTCTCTCTTCCCTCTCGGCCTGTGTAATGAGATCGCTGCTGTGCAACTTTGATTAGACATGTCAACCTGCAGCTGGATGTCTGGAAATGAGTATTGCTATTAAAATGCCTTTGCTAATGATCAGCTCACATGTCTATCATTTTGACAGATTTCTCCTCAGGAATGTGGAAAGTATGCAGGAATCCCAAGGTTGCGATGTCATGTTCAGGGAAATGGGTATTGGTGTATTTCCTATGTGTTAACCCTGAAGTAGCACTTTCCTTGGCAAAATCATGCTGGTGTCTGAAGCTTGCTGCTGAGCACAGGCTGTGCTCAAAGAGATCCATAATCCTGAGCTGGGAACTGAGTATGATGGGGAATTTCTGGAGCATCAGCCTGAGAACAGGGCATCCATCCTCTGTACCACTTCTTTTGGTGTGATTTAAAGCTTTCATTATGTGGAAAAAAGAATCAGGTGTTTGGAGAAAATATTTCCAGATCTCCTTATCAGTTAATCAGTTTAGCAATGGGAAAACCAAAAGCTGGGTGATTCGAGAGGAGAGGAGCAGTTCCAGCACAGTGCCCAGCTGCGAGCCCTCCCCAGGAGCAGGCCGTGTGCTGAGCTCTCCATGTTCTGCCCAAGACACACCAGGGCTTTTCAGGGGCCTAAACCTGGAAAGTAGGTGGGAATTCCCAGGGAGAAGGGAAGAAATGGAGACAGCTGCTGCTCCCATTTCTTTTGTTTTGGCTGCCACAACCCACAGCCCGGAATCTCATGGCCCTCCTCTGCCATCTCCCAGCTCTCCCTTTATCAGCCTCCCCTCTTTCTGCAGACAGGAGGAGACGAATGTGCACTTGGAAAGCCATTGGCATGGCTCGTGGTGTATGAACAGCCTCCCCAGTGCACCTTTGAACCCATTCCTCCTACATTTGTTTGTCTTGCAGATAAAGCTTCACAGCAGTGTTTGGAGAAAAGTCTAATGAGGGACCACTGTTTGCATAACAAAGCGAGGCTTCCTCTTCAGATGTTCAACCTTCATTAAGCATAATTTATATTCCAGCTAATCTTTGGAAGCGGATAAAATATGGAGCCAAAGTTTGTTTTTACATAGTTTGGAGTAACGCGTTGTTTGTTTTAAGTGGTCAGTTGCAACTGACAGCTGATTTATATTCAACATAATGATGATTTGTGATGGCTGCTGATTGTCGTGGGGACTGTTGTGTCATTGACTGCCGTGGCTTTAGCACTCTTTGACGTCAGTTGTTGAGTGAAAGGATAAGAGCAAATGGATGTTTTCGGATATTTCAGCAGATCCGCAAGCGTAAAAAATTGCAAATTTGTGAAACACGTGGGCTTTTTCCTCCAGAACCTCACGTTGACTGTATTGAGTAGCACACTGAATGGTAGCTTGCTTCTCTGACAAGTCCCAGCCAGCACCGCTTGGGGCCCTTTGAAGGTCACTGCAGGAGCCTCTGCAGCCAGCAGCTCTTGGGGTGATAAGAGGCACCAACATCCTGCTCTAGTGTGCTGCCTAGAAAGAAAGCAGACTGATATGGCCGAACACTTACTTACAGGACATCACAGCTTGGTGTAAAAAAATTCATTTGATTTCTCATCATTTAGACTTTTTTCATACCATAGGCACGCTAAAAGAATCTGATGCTATTGAACCTTCACTATAGTTTTGACCTGCTGCCCGTATAAGATGCACTTTTTCACTGCAAATGAAATATTCAATATATTTCACTTATCACCTTCCAGCTTTATTAAAAGATGAGAAATGACTGATAACATTGATCTTGTTTGAACTCCAAGCTGAGCCTTACCCCTTTCTGCAAGTTTACATTGTAATGACAGATGTTTGAAAACACCCTTCAGCATATCAAGAAAATTACAACCTGGCTTGTGTGTGAGGACAGCACTGAGGTGTGCTGTGTCCTTTCAACACAGAAAAGCAAGATTTTCAGATGTCTGTGATCCTCTCCAGTTCTCCGAGCACAGCAACATAGATACTGTGGATTGAGTGATGGCTTTCCACTTTGTGTTCTTTAACACTGAGAAAAGTTCAGGATCCTCCGCTGGCTTGGTTCATCGCATCTGTAACCATAACCTATCTGTAACTGTTTTTAAAAGAGACACCAAGCTTTAGAGAATATGTTTATTTATTCATTATTTTATTTTATTATTTTTCAGGAAAAAATGCTGTAAGGGTTATAAATTTGTTCTTGGACAGTGCATCCCTGAAGGTATGTGGTTTTGCTGTTCTTACCTTTCCTTTCCCTGTGCATTTGTCTTTCCATGTGTGCTCTATTCTCTGCACTGCTGTCTGGGAGAGCATCCTGATACAGCCCACAGCGTGGGCTGTACCACATACATGGAAACATTTCCAAGAAATTGTTGTGAAAATAAAAAAATCAGCGTCTTCCAAAAGTTTTGTTCAGCATGCCAAGCCTTAATCCTCCCTGAGTACGTGTGGCTGCTCAGATCTTGTAACAGGACCTGGTGCAAACACAGAGCCACATGCTGCTCTTGGCTGTGCGTCCAGGAGCTCATGCTCCCCCTGTGGTCTAGCAGAGGAGATTTGACTTGGAATTGCATGGAGTGACCAGGTGAATAAGTCCTGCTTTTGTCACCTGTTTCCTGCAGGCAGCAAGGGGAAAGCATCGCCATACCATGCCTCTTTTTCACCACATCTTCTGGCTGTGGGCACAGGGACTGAGAATTACCAGGGGTGGTTAAATTCACAGTGGAAAGGAAATCTGTCTCTCCTGACAGGCTGCCCAAAAGCTTTGAAAGAGAGTGCTGGGATCCAGTGCTCAGAAGTTGATTGCACATCTCTTGTAAGAAAAAGGCTGAGGTCTGCCTGCCTTAAGCGTGGCGGAGGCCTCTGCTGGTCGGCCCAGCCTCAAGAGCCATCACTCCTCACACTTGGCCCACCTTGGGTGAAATTGGCTCAGAAGTTAGAAGAGAGGAGAAGAGGCCACACAGGAGCAAATGGCCAGAGAAAACAATACATTAAAATTCATTTCCTCCAAAAAAACAGGTTAGGTGGATGTTGTCTCAGCTTGAGATGGTGATGTTTCAAAAAGAAAAGTGACAAATTATCATTGTTAGTATCAGCTGTTGATATTAGCTGAATTTTGGATTTCAGTCTCCAGCCAACAGGGATCATAAACCAAACTCCAGTCCTGCTGTCTCTTTTTTTGTTTGTTTGTGTCCTTTGTGCCTTTGCTGTTGGCTGGAAACACTCATGGAATCTGTACAAAAAAGAAGATATTAAATGTCATATTTTAAGAACAGGAGTTGTACATTTCCTGCTTCCATGAGGAGGAATGGGTTTGGGCATCGTCGGTGCTCACAAGGGCATCCTTGTTCTGTGGTTTTGCAGTTTTGTCTCAGGGTGTGCGATGTGAGATGATGGCTTCAATGCGAGACACTTGGAGGAGACGGTTGTGCTGGGTTTGTTCAACCCCATCTGTGCGTAGGAGGAAGAAGCCCTGAATCCTTTCAGGGTGGAAGAAAGCCAGGGCTCTGCAGCCTGGCCTCCTGCTTTCCTGTCAATTGTAACACTTCTATATGCTGTTATTTTCACTAAATATAATGGATACAGCAGAAGAAGTAATGGGAGCGAAAATATAGTGAGAGCCATGGCAAATTATAGGAGGGTTCTAATTTTCATCTCTTGAGGTTTCAGGTGATTATGAAAGCAGCATTTCTGTGTACCCACTGACTTTACTTAATCCTGCCTACTAACTGCATCTCAGTAACCTAGGTTTTTGCCATTCATTGAATTTCTCCACTGGCTGTGGCTGCTATCCCTTTGTCTCTTTACACCCTTTTCAGCTCAGTAGATATTTTGCCTTGAATTCTGCAGCCCACAGCAGCTGCTGTAACATCCAAGACAATCTGGGCTTTTGATGTAGGGATGAGAAACATGATTCAATGAAGCAGTTCTTTCATTTACTCTGTTACAATACATCACTTGGCTCTTTGCACGTTGTTTTGGCATAGTCTTGGAGGAGGAGCTGCATGAAATGCATATCTTGAGACAGGCACATAAATACATTGCAGATGTGAGCTTGTTAGAGCACATCTGCACCTTTTAATCCAGTGCTGGCAAGCTAAAGCTCAGAGAAATAGTTCCAGCCTCACCTTCTCTGTGATTTAGCAGTGGCTGCAGAGAGAAGGGTCAGAAGAAGCCTAGACCCTTCCCTTGCACACCAGCCTTTCTTTTCAGCAGCTGCTATCTGAACACACTCTTTCTCCAAAGGGTTGCCCGTGTCCATCTTTCATTTCTGTCCTGTTTTTTCTCTTCCATCTTTGGTGTAGCAGCTTAGTGTACCTGAGTTCCTGCTGCTGTGTCCTGCATTCTGTTGGCATTGGGCTGAATGTCTCTCTATAGGTTTCAGTTGCAAGAGCAGGGATCCATGACCATTGGGAAACAGAGGAGTTTCCTTTGCGTGTCTGATTTGCACTCTACTTGGCCAACAGATCAGGCCAAAATGAGATCTTTGCACTTTTACCAGAATAGTTTTCCTCTTCTTTGACTCAGAAACTGACAGCTCCAAGCAGGTCCTGCCTCACAGTGTTGCTGACATTGAAGTAGAGCTGTAGTCTGAAGCAGCTTCTTGAAGAGCAGACTTCCGACCAATGATTTGTTAGTTGAGTTTCCTGTCTTCAGGCTACTTCACCAAATTAATTCAGGCTAATTCATGCAAAGCACACCATGACAGACAAATACTCAGAAGATCTGCTCTCTCCTCACTAATGCTACTTAAGAAACTTCCTTGATGCAACCTTCTGCGTTGCATTGGCATTCCTGAATTCATTGAGGCATGTATAGAGGCATTATTTCCTTCAGTGCTTCGTATTTTCCTGAAGTCTGAAACAGCCTGATCCTTGCTGTGCAGCTTTGATTCGTCCTCAAACCTCCTGAGACCGGGCTGGTGAAGAAGGGGCAGACATGTGAGGAATCCTGTATTCTTATTGCTTCAGAGCACGCAGAGGTGGTATCCACAGCCAAGAGCCACAGCACCTTTTGTCCAGTTTTGCCTCATTCCTAAGGGAGTCATTCCACATGGGAGCTGTTTAGTCTAGAGGAAAGAAGTCTGAAGGGAGATCTGTTAGCAGTATTTATTGTGAAAAGGCTGCAAAGCAGAAAGCAAACTCTTCTTCATGGCCGGGGAGAGGAGGACAAAAATAATGGGCTTTAATGGCATTAAGGGGAATTTGGAACAGGCATTAGTAAAAATCTTACCCTTTACAAGGATACTTCATCTTTGGAATGTGGGGTGTACCATCCCCGAAGGCTTCCTAAGTGTGGGTTACTTGAACATCTGAGGAAAGGCTTGCACGTAGTTAATCCTGTTTGGGTGGAAGGTGGCCCCTTCCAGCTCCGTTGCTTTATTTTATTTTATTATATTCTTTTTTCTCTTTTCCCTAATTTTGTTAGTGTATGTCTATTCATGGAAGCACAGTGAGAACAGAGATCATTCTTCCTCAGCTCTGAATAGACTGAACAGGCCAAATTTTGGAACAGGCTAAATACAGCATCTGTGAGGGCAACTGCCTAAGGCACAGGCATGCTCAGCTAAGCAAGGGCGTGCTCCCGTGTGCTACAGCACCATCCAGCCCCATCCCTTGCCTGCAGCCTGCAGCAGTGCCAGGAGCTCCATGCAGCACCTAGTACTCCAACTTTGCTGCTGCACAGAGCCCAGTCATTGCAATCAACCACATCTATGTGGAAAAATAAAATAGCAGCCATGCTCAGAAAAATTGCCTCTGGCCCTTTATATTTGTGACTATTTATTAGTTCCAAACTTTGCATCCCCAGTGTCACTGAAAAAGCCCAAACTATCCAGAAGGTTGTCCAAGTTTGAAGGCAGTGGCCATGTTTTCCTTCCAAACCCAGGCATCTACACTATTCCACCCCAACCACAGCACCATGGACACAGCTGGCATTAAAGCCAACCCACTGTGAAGTGCAATGGAAAGAAAGGATTCACAAGGTAACAAGTACCAGAGAGGAAATGCTTGGCACTGAGACAGTATTTTTCAGTTGAAGGAGCTCTGGTGTGCCATACTGGTGCTGGCACACCGTGGCTCATTAAGCCCCATTTGGAGCACTTTTGTAACCATGCACACAGTCACTTCTGCCCACAGTTGTTCACATGTGTTCTGAATACTCCATATAGCAAATGTGGTTTCACTTGCTTTTCCATCTATTAATTCATTTTAATTGTTTGGAAAAATCGTCGTACTAGCAGAGATGTCTGCTAGTCATTAGCATGAGTCAGTAATGAGTTGGGGTTTTAATCATTTTATACTGTGTGTATGGAAAGACGGTGCATTGCTGGGAACTCAGTTGAAACACGTAGGTTAGGGTGTTGTGTGTTATGCCTGGAGCAGAGGTCGGATGCTTCTGCTTGGCCACACAGTGCCCTGTTGCTGCAGGGTTATCCAAGCACTGTGAATCACTGCGTGCAGGGCGATACTCCTCTGAAATAACCTCAGAGCATGGCTGTGGCATAAAACCCAGCCTTCAGCAGGGTGATCTGAGCAGCTATGGAGGCTGGATGCTCCTCCTGCTCCTTCCTTCTCCTGGGGTTTTGAAGTGGGACCTCAGGCAGATTTCTGGGGTCTCACTCACAAGCATGGCTAGTGACTGAATGCATCCTGATCTTCACATGGCTATTATTAGGGGTGATGATGGTTTTGCAGCAGTGTGTTCCTTGCTAGGAGGTTTATAGCTAGTTATGAACAGTTACTGCGTGATTTTAATTAACTTTCTTTTGTGATATATTTTCTACCTGGATTTGGCAGTTTGCCATAATGTATTTCTCAGTACTTTGCATATGAAATGCTTAGATCAATACTTAAGGACTGTGGAAGAAAACAGCAAAAAACTTTTAGGTAATGTAAAATTCGTGAAAATTCTTCTTAAATTCTGCAAACTGGGTAAGTATCCCTTGCTTAAAAGCCAGTTTCAATAAATAACCCAGTTGCCATGAGGTGCATTAAAAAGAGCATGGCCAGCAGGTTGGGGGAGGTGATCCTCCCCTCTCCTCTGCCCTGGTGAGGCCACATCTAGAATACTGTCTCCTAACCGTGCACTTCTCTCCGTAGACTATGATGTGTGTGCTGAAGCTCCTTGTGAACAGCAGTGCACGGATAACTTCGGACGAGTGCTGTGCACTTGCTATCCTGGGTACCGCTACGATCGGGAGAGACACAGGAACAGGGAGAAGCCGTATTGCCTGGGTGGGTAGAAGTGCTTCTCTGTGGTTCGTGGCGTATTTTCCTTCTTCACATTCTTTAGGGGTCAGTTTAGATTTCAAAACTTCTTTATTTTCTTTACAGTTGCATATTAAATGTGGCTTTTAATTCTGCTGAGTGTTGGTCCCCATGACTAAGATACCTAAATCCTCCTGAAATTATGGGTGGGCAGTACCTGAAAAAAGCCATATACACTTAAGCACTTTGAAGCATCAGGGTGATGCAGTTTTCCCTTTCTTAATTCCTCCTGCAGGTTATGAGTAGTATTTGAGAAGAGGGGCACGGTTCTAGGTGTAACCCTCAAAGCACTATAACCATGCCTGATTAGGACAACCAGTCCTTGGGGTTCCATTCAGATGGGAAGGATCTGGTTCAGGACAGTTCTCACTGTCCTGTGGTTCTCTGCAGTTCTCACGCAGCTGCGCTCATGTGGCTGACACAAGGAGTTGTGTCCTGCTTAGTTTGCCGTGCCAGGGAGCCAGGGTTGTCAGGATGAAGCTTTTAGTGAGCTGCCTGGTGCAAAAAACACTCACACAGTGCTCACTGATAAAATGACGGGTGTGTTAATGATTGTCGGTCTGCACAGAGCTCCGGTCTGAAGCAGCAGCAGTGCTGCAGCCACTTATTTATTTAAACCCCAAATCTCCTGGTACTTTAAAAAGAAGATTATTATTTACCCGAGATGTGAAAACTCCGGCTTCAGGACGCTTTCTGTTCTCACTCATCTCCAGACATCGATGAGTGTGCCGCCAGCAATGGGACACTGTGCTCACAGATCTGCGTCAACACTGTGGGCAGCTACAGGTGTGAGTGCCACGAAGGCTACACCCGGGGGGAGGATGGCAGGACGTGCACCAAGGGAGATAAAGGTACGTGCCGCCGGGGTTAAAGGTCTGGGGTCAAAGGGTCTGCTTCACACGAGGCTCCGTCTGGCCGTCAGGAAGCACTGCTGTATGTGTGCATGATGGAGCATTGGCACTATTTGCCTAAAGAGGCTACGGACAGCCCAGAGCTCAAGAGATGGGGTTTTTTCCCATTGGAAGTAATTTGTGACAAAAAAAGGGTGAGAGTAAGGGCTTGTACTTCCTTTTCACTGCTGTTTTCAGAGCATGAATGTGTACAGAGTGTAAATGACTTTGAAACTGTTGACCTCATCCCAGTTATTAAATTACAGTATTTAGAGTACTGAAGATTAAATACTGATAGGGCAATTTTAAAAACGGGGAGGAAGACAACAATCTGTGCTCTGGAAAATAAAAAAAAAGAGGGTGGGGGAAATGAAGAAGGACACTTCACTCTTCTGATGAATGGCATCTTACCTAAGTTCATCTGTTAATGCCTGAGCACATGTGTCAATGGGTGCTCTAAGTCTCACTGGATGGCCAAAGCCATTTATAATTTTCATTTTCCCCTGAAAATCAAATGAAGTGGCTGGAGCCTCTCCATTAACATTAGTTGTTTCTTGTCATTTTCAAATGTTTGGATATTTTTCCTTTATAAGTGGGGGTTGGGGGGCCATTAAGGAAATACATATAGCATAAATAATCCCCTTGCAAATAGCATTTTTAGCTAAATTTTCCCCTGGCTAATTCATATTTACTGACAGGGTAATGTCTGAAGCATCAGGATAACTGATCATTGGAAACATTCAGGGCTGTGGAAATCATTCTAATATTTGAAACAAGCAATTTGACATAGCCATAAAAACAATTGCACTCTGTTTTCAAGAAACATTTTCAAGAAACCCTCTCTCCAGGTTTACGCTTTCTGTGTGTTTGCTGGAGAACTATCTCTTGTGCTCATCCTGCCATGCACAGAGGCTGCAGCCTGAGCACTGTTTTTGGCTCTGAGCTACAAGTGAGCTCCACTGAACACTCTGGATTTGTTAGTGGGACGCGAGAACAGGGAGCATTTTTCCTGCATGCACAGTAACGTTGTGTTTGACAGAGACAATAGAGCCACCCGCTCTGAAGCAGGCACATTAAACCATCTCAGCAGGCTGAGCCCAGATAATGCAACACAGATGATCCACCAGGCAGCCTCCGTGCAAAGACCGCCCGCAGCTCAGCTCCTGCAGAGCTCTGCTCTGCCAGCATCTCCTTCTCGTCCAGCATCAGCCCTCTGAGCAAGGGCAAAGACGACACGTTGCTCCCCGAGCTGCTCTCTTACTGATAGCACTGAAGGGTTCACCAGTACCTTGCTTAGATGGAAGGCTCTGTGTCACCCATGAGCTGGACTTCGTGCTTCAGAAACCCTCCCTAAATGGGGCTACTTGAAGCCTTCTCTGCAGTAACTTTAGTTTCCCTGTGCAGTGAAAACAGGTTATGTAAGTGTCTTGCTCAACTCTGGCCAAACTGATCCTGGTGGGTGACCTCAGTGTCTGCACCATGCGTGGGAGGCTGCAGCTGATTGCTGCCTGCCCCTCTGGCCCATCCTAGGTGGCTTCTGGCTTTCTCCGTGCTTTAGTCTGGCTGTATTCATATTTTGGTCCTGATGCAGGATCAGATGGGGGTAGAGCGAGTGTTTGATGGATGACTCCTTCTTTGGGCAAATCAACACTCATGTCTGGTATGAGTTAGGGGATTCCATCCCTCTCTGGGGACACAGCTCACACTTGCTTATGTGACACTGTTGGACTTCTTCCTCAGATAAATCAGTCCAACTGGGTTTGCAGAAATCTCTCTGGTGTGGTATTTTCCAAACATTAGCTGACCCCCGCGCTGTTCACCTCCACGGGCTGTTACAGCCCTATTTATCTGCAGTCCTCAGCCCCATGTACCACATCTTTCTGGAAGGTAAACTGCTTTTATGATGAAAGAAGAGGCCAAATTCACTGCTGCTTAATCTGCTCATAATTCTACTGACTCTGATGGGACTGCTGGAGTCTCAAACAGCAGAGGTTCTGGCAGTTTCTCTCTATGACCGCATGTTGCTGTCAGCAACATTTCTTAACACAGTGTGTGTGTTGTATGAGGGAACTCATTTATTAAGATACCTACTAAAACAAATTTGGTTAAGAATAGTATCAAACACAGTTTTTAGGGGAAATTTTTAAAAAGGACATTTTAAAAATGTCTCTCTAAATGGGCTTTTGTAAATCTTACCAAGGTCTGATGGTGAACATGTCAGAGCACTCTCATGTTTTTAGAGAGCTGAAAAAAATTGACAAGGGTGAACCCGTGAGAGAACCATAGTGCAGACTTACAGTCAGGAGAAAATTTGCCTTGTAGAAATATGAAGAGGTGTCCTGATAACAGCTTAACAGCTACTTGTTAAGGGGGGAAAAAAAAAAAAGATGAAAAAAAAACCCCTACGTGCTGCAAGCTCTGTCAGAGATGGGCAAAATGACATTGGTGAGAGTCAAAATGACCAATGGTAAAGTCCTTCTTGGAGGGGCTGTGGCCAAACAAATGGTCAGGGAGACATAATAGCTGTAATTTGTTGAAACCATTGTATGTGAAGGTCAGTGGAGAAGGCCCTGGAATACCTTTTGACCATAAACATTGAGCCATCCAAGCACAGCACAGAAAGCTGTTCAGCCATGCGCTATCAACTAGGGCTGGGAAGCTCTGAAAGCAGGGAGCTTACTTTTAGACAAATGCTAAATGAAATAGGGAGGAGAGCTGTGGATTACCACAGTGCCATAGGACTGCAGTGTCATGCAGGCAGGTAGTGACTGGGAGAACCCCCAGCCTTTGCTTCCTGATCTTCTGACTGATTCAGGATTTACACCAAGGCCGTGCTGCTGGTGGTCATTCCAGCATCCTGCCTTTGCAGTCCCACTTGCTATCTGCAGTAAGACAGGGGCTTATGTGATAAATTACACCCAATGGACGAAAACTACTGAAAAGTTTTTTCAAAGTTTGTGCATTGATGGTCTGTAGGTGACCATCTGATGGCTGCAATGTCCCTTATTGCACGCTGTAGACATTTAAAGTCAAGTAGCACGTGACTTATGTAGTATTAGAAAATTCTGCTTGTATTAGAAACGATGCAGACTTTTTCATAATCACTACACAGTTAGGAAAAGATGAAGGATGTTAAAGCTGATATGAGGAATGTAAAACAATAGCTAAGTACATTCCAGGAGAACCCGCAGCTTTTCCGTTACAAAGCATGCTCTGAGGGATCGGTGTGCCAAGGTGTCCGACAACCCTTACTGGAGACGTCGTACAAGGCCACACATCACATGCAGAGCCTTTGTGTACTTTATGCTTCTCAGCAACTGCGTGTGTAAGAAAAAATGCTTATCTGGAATTTGCAAGTATGTGTTTTGGAAACCACGTTTCTCTTTCAGTGGACATCTGTCAAAACAAGCTTGTTTGTTTATGATGCAGAAATGATTCATTGAGTATGGGACCAGGAAAAGGACACATACAAAAAAGCACTTGCAGCATCTTTTACAATTCAAATCATTTCAAGGATCCTTGAAAAGATCCCGTTCTTACAGCATATTCACTGGTGTGACCCATTCACTCCAGTGGATTTCAATCCTTATCATTGCTCTCAATCCCAATCTCCCGTCACGTGGGGAAAAAGCATGATGATAAAGAGCAGTATGTGCAGAGTGAGTGAAATGGCCACATTGTGAGGAGTTATACTGTAATTTACAGCATATGAAAATTTGCTCCTTCGGGGCACTGTAAATCCAGACAGACCTGTAGGAACGGTCTGCCCTGAATGCAAAGATAAAAGAAGGGGTGTAAACTTTTTCAGGTATTAAAAAAATAAATACTTTGGTGACTGTTAACTGGAAACAGCTGCATTAAAAATGAGCTCAGAGCTGTCCCTGAAAAATTTTTCAGCCTTGTATAGCAGCTCACAGTCAAGGCATTAATAATGGTGAGATTGCCTCTTCTTTTCACAGTCTGGGGGAATGCAACGACCTTTCAAACTCCAGTTGCTTTTGCAATTACTTTATGAACTTCTTTTCCTTGGATCTTTATATTTGTATTGGAAACTGCTTTCTTTCAGCTGGACTTTCTGAGAAATCTGAAAACGTGGCAAAACCAGGGACATGCTGTGCCTCTTGTAAGGAATTTCATCAAATAAAGCAGACGGTTTTACAACTGAAGCAAAAGGTATGAACGTTGATCAATCATGTTACGAGACCTGCGTGTTTTGTGACAACTGAGTATAAATTAAGGTGTTTGGAACTGTCACTGCCACATCACACTTTTGCCCTGGAAGATGATGGCAACGTGTTTTAAAATTGCATAGGAAGAGCATCTCTTCCTTATGCTTATGCTTCTGCACTGCTTGTAAGCAGATTACTACTCAAGCTTATGGTAACAGGGTCTGGCAAAACCTCTTGCAACGTGAGCCCAGGTTTCTTGGCAAGATGCACTGTCCTCAGTTTTTCATTCATTCTGAACACACAGGATTTTGGACTTGATCCACCCCAAGTATATGTAAGTGCAAGACATTCTGCTGATGAGGGAATGTGGGAGAATATGATTTTGCACTACCAAGTTGTTGATACAGGATGCTTGCCAAATAGGAGGTGTGTGGCTAGACATAAAACATCACTAGCACACACATCAGCTTTGATTGTTAAAAGAAAAAAAGCCTCAGCCATGAGTTTTTAGTTGATTACATTGCACACAAAAACATCCCCTGACCTTTAATTTTGTCTGCTCCTATATGTGACCTCCTTCTGCATTTTGGTAGGATTTAAAGAATGCAGATACACAGGGTTTGGAGAACCAAGTACGCAGGTGCAGATGCCTTTTCTGGTGACACTTCCTCCAAATATTCAGTTCTCTGAAATGGAAATGCTCTGCAGGGTCAGTGTAAGCAGTCCATGTTGGCAGGTTGTCATCATTTCAGTCAAGCTGCTCAATTAATTTCGCTGCATCAAAACATAAATTGGTATATTCACCTGCTGAATTTAATGTTATTCATTCAGTGTAATTCCATTAGGGAGAAAGGAATCTACCTCACTAAAATTAAATACACTGAAGTGTGACATATTCTTTATTTCAAAAATCTCAAAAAAAAAAAAAAAAAAAAAAAAAAAGCCCCAAAACCGAACAAAAAAAACTTGCTTTCCTTATGAACCCGTATGAAGACAAACGTGAAAAGTGACAGAATTTTGCACGTGGAAGACAGTCTGGTTTTCAGACAGCTCCTGCTAGTGGACAGTGAGCAGGACACAGCAGAGCCGCGCTGCGGAGCGCCTGCGTCCATGGCTGGGAGGCTGAGCAGCTCGCAGCTGCCTGAGCGCTGGGACCGCGGTGCTGGCCAACTGTTTGCTGCAGGAATGCGTGGAAACGAATCGCCTGGATTAAGGGAAAGTTTTCATCAGCTTTGGGAGCCTGAGTCCTGAGAGCCTGGCACACTCTGGTGCTGTGTGCACTTGTCACACTTGTAGCTGTGCCTTAATGATAATTCCTGTCGTAGTACATGGACTAAATTGTACCCAAGTATTTTCCTTGTGGGACTTGATCAACTTGGCATCCTCAGAGAAAGACCACTGAGCTGAGCCACATGCAGAGCAGGAAGAGATGATCCCTAGATGCCTTCAGCATCTCTTACCCTGCCGCTTACAGAGCTTTTACCCACGCAGAGAAGAGATCTGGCCTCACGCTGCTCCTCTGCCCAAGGAGACACAAAACTTCTGCATTTTGCTAACAGCTCCCTGTGGCCATCTCAGTATCTGCGGTTGAAGCTTTCTGTTTTGTACATAAAAATTCATTACTGGCTGCCAGACAGACAATTTATGGGAATAACTCTTTGGTCTTTATTCCTGTGGTTAAAGATTTTGATTTTACAAACTTCACATCAAATTATGTATAGCAGAAGAGTCTCAGAAGGATCCAGTCCTGCAAATGCTACAACTGTGAATTGGAATGTGCTTCTGGAGGTCGGAAGTTTGGTTTTGGATCTTCTTAGGATAAGAGGGAATTGAACTCATGTCACTGCAGCCTCTAGAGTGTGCACAAACTGTTAGGTGAAAGGAGGTGGTTGATGTCATCAGCACCTTCTCCGAGGATTGCAGCACGGATTCCAGATCCAACATGAGAATAGTTTATGGATCAAGTACAGAAATTCAACTTACGTGGTTATCAAATGGGCTGCATTGTTCTCCTGATTTTCTAGAGGGCTGTGGGCAGATCTAGACTGATCTCAGGCTTTGTAGGAAGGAGGAAAAGCAGAAAGCTGGAAAAGCAGGGGACGTGCTGACATGCTGACACACAGTCAGTTTTTTAAGAAATCAAGTAAGCAGTTGAGTTCTTGGATTTGGGGGATGGCTAGATCTTATGGAGCAGGTATATTTAAAAATTGTATTTAGAAATCACTGATAGAATTCCACAACCAAGAAGCACTACCAGAGTCACATAGACCACAGATCTAGAAACTGCCCAAAACTCCACATGCAACATTCAACACTTAATATATGGGATCTTATCTCTAGCAATGCCTTTCTTTAAAGTAGTCCCTCACTAATATTTGCACGCATGTGGAAGAATATTTTTCAAGGGCCACTGAGATTTGGAGCTGTGGAGGGAGAAAGTCAAGGTCACTCTATATCAAGATCCTCGTAGAGTTAAAAGGTGAAACAGAAATTAGGCTAGTGAGTATAGCCAGCCCCTGAGAGGATGTGAGTCAATATCAAAAACACATGGTTTGGCTGTAGTGCATGTAACAGCCATTTTCTGTCCAGAAGGTATCAAAGAGCAGTGAGCTAGACCAGATCGTGGGTATTTTGGCATTCCCAGTGTGTGCCTAAGTCCAGCTGACTCAGTGGGGAAGCATGTGTAGATGCTTTCACAGCAGCTATGTGATCTTTTTTAAAACTAAGTTATTGTTAAAACAGCCTTGCTGGCAGGAAAAAGCCAGTATTTTATTTATGCAACAGAAAAGAATACACTTCCAAATCTCCTTCATGATGAGTCGCATCTTTCTAATCCAGGCTGGCCATTTGCAGTACAATCTGAAGAGCTGTTCACAGCAGGGGCTGTGCAGAAACCAGCAGCTCCCTCACATGGGCCCACGCTCTGAAGAGAAGATCCATTAATAAGACACTCAATGGTGACCACTCTCAAGGAGAAACATTCACTTTTTCTTCAGTGTGAATAAGTGTTCCTGCTGAGGAAGGCTGGAAGAGATGAAGTGCTCCTCACCTGTTTGAGCCTCACTGATGACAGCAAAAATATTTTCATTTTAAAACTGCCTCAACAATACAGTGCTGTCAGGTTTTCATGTTTGTAGTGTGCTGACCAAAGCTTGTCAGCAGACAGAGCCATTGGTAAATGAAGACTTTCTTCTGTTGAAAATCCAACATGACAGCACAAAAGGCCAACACCAGAGCAGCAGGCATGCTAAATCACTACCCTGTGGTGCTTCAGTGAAGTGCTTGATTTCCAGAGGGGAGGAGGGAGCACATGGGATTCCTGTAAGGCTTTCATCTTGTTGTTTAGTTTATATTCAGAGCATTCACCTTGCCTTTGGAGCAGCAATGTGCTCCAAAGCACAAGTCAGGAATGGCTGCTAAACCCTTGTATTTCTCTCATCATATTTTGTATCCCATTGTTTATGAAGTGCCACTGGGAGCTCTGCATTTCCAGTGTTCTTTCCTTACTTTTTCTTCCTTCAGAACTGTTCTGGTGCATTCAGCCTTAAACTGCAAGCAACACTGGCTGCTCTTCAATGTGCTTTCATTCACTAATAACTTGTTTGCCAAAAGAAATTTGCCCACATATAGTAGGTGTTGCAGGTGCATAGCATTACTATTTTTTCAGTGCTTTACAAACATGAAGCTTGTGTGAAGGGCAGGAGAGTATATATCAAATAATTGCATGAGGAGGAGTCCTGAGAACAGTGCAGGGAATTCCAAACAACTGATTAAAACCACAAGCAGAAGGCAGGAGTTGTACATATTAGTTGATGCACCTCTCCTATGCAAACGTTGCGGAGTCCAGTGAACAACAAAGATGACCCAGGGGTGGATCTATCCTGACCCTGCTGAAACAGCTCCTCAGATTGGCAGAGCAGAATTCCCCACTCCACATGCAGCCCATTCAGCATTAATAAACTTCTCACTGTAGACAAGCCTTCTGGCTTATCGTCTCCCCTCAGCTTCCTCTGGAGACACTAAGCACTTGCAGAATATTTTAAAATATATTTCATTATTAAATACATTCAATCTGGGCAAGCAGGAATTGATATTTAATGGTTAATGACATTTTAAACCACAGCATGCAGTTTTCCTTGCATTCTTACTTGCTTTTGACTTGTGTCTTTATTCAGAGCAGATGCAAGCTCAATTGGGTCAAACAGTGTGATTGCAAAGCATTTTGGTCTCCCATTGAAACCACTGAGATGTTAGGGGCTTGTGCAGCAATTCAAATGTAAATATCTGAGCAGATGTTGGCCTGAAAAAGCATAGAAAATGAACAGAAGGAAACTCAAATGAGGAAAGAGAAGTTTTCTGAGAAATGCCAAGCAGTCATCAGACTTCTGTTTTTCACAGCTTTTTGCTGTATCTCACCTGAATTGTTTGTGTCCTCCATTTGGATAGACTTGCAATATTTCCGAGATGACTTGGAAGGTGGGCAGCCTTATAGGTAAAACCAGGATTACTAACAAAATGCTGGCTCCACATCCCAAGGGAAGTAAAGTACCAGAATGTATAAGTGCCCTAAAATCAAACGGTGTCATATTTTTCACGTGGTATCTTCCAATCCTTGGTACATGATGCAGGAAGTGTAAATAATCTCCAGGATCTCCCATCCAGTTCTCATGTCCTGTGCCCCTATATCGGGCAATTCATCTGCACAGCCATGTGCTGTTGGTGTGCCTTAAAGAATTAGCTGCAGAACTGATTTATTTTACTTCTATCAGGGAATAATGGTTGCATTTTCTTTTCTCCATGTGTTAAGTTGCTTGATGTCATGTGAAGTGTAATCCTGACTAAGGTTGCTGAACAGTTTTATTATGGATATGGATATCCATAATTTTTTTATATTTTATTATGGAATACGGATATCAATAAATATTTTACATTTTTTTCTGAAGTACACAAATATGCTATTTGTCCTCATGAAAGCTTAATCAAGAGTGCTATTTATCCAGCTTAAGGATGGAGAGCTTACAGTGATTTTTGCTTTTGACAGGTTGCTTTGCTACCAAATAATGCTGCTGATCTTAGCAAGCAAATCACTGGTGAAAAAGTGCTTGCATCTAATGCATATATCCCTGGCCCCCCGGGACAGCCTGGCCAACAAGGTCCTCCAGGTAAGACGCAGACCAGAGGGATGTGGGTATGAATTACTGCCATTAGAAAAAATAATAAGCTTCAGTCTTCCAGTATAACAGGATTTCATGTGTTACGTATTGTGATTGCTGTGATTATATTTTAATCTGTAATAAATTGAAAAACACACTGGTCATTATTCAGTCATCCTCTGCCAACTGTCTAACAACAGTCCCTTGTATTTCCTTGTTTCCCCATATTTCTTGGCATGCAAAGCTGGTTTTGTTCTGTATGTGTTAATTTTCTCCCTCTCCCTACGATATTTCACCTGCTTCACTTGTCATTCCCCGTTTCTTAACTCTGTCTTAAGCACCCTGCATTACATTTCAGAAATGCCTATTATTTTAAGATTGTTAATAGAGCAGAAGATCTGCTTTCAGTTTGTGGGAGTTTGTGCCAAATGTTTTATTTTTCCTTGTCTGGTTTTGCAAAAATTAATTTCTTGATTTTATGTTGTGCTCAGGATTCAAATAAACCTGAACAGTAAAACTACACTCTTACCTTCATTTTTGAAACAATGAGAAAAGCAAAGTTCCTAATTCTCTAACATAAGCCAGACACCCTGCAACCTATGGTCGTTGCAGGATGGTGGTTAAAGTTTTGCTAACTGTTGAATGCAAATCTGATTTTGGGCTAGCAGTAAATGCAGGGAATTTTAGTACTGTTCTGAGTTCGTGGAATACTCTGACCAAGGACAAGCTGATATTCCTTGCCAGGTTTGACTCTCTACACGCAGAACCGCCCTTCATTTGTCTCCACTTGTGCAGTCTTTCTTTCTCTCTTTCTTTCTTTCTTTCTTTCTTTCTTTCTTTCTTTCTTTCTTTCTTTCTTTCTTTCTTTCTTTCTTTCTTTCTTTCTTTCTTTCTTTCTTTCTTTCTTTCTTTCTTTCTTTCTTTCTTTCTTTCTTTCTTTCTTTCTTTCTTTCTTTCTTTCTTTCTTTCTTTCTTTCTTTCTTTCTTTCTTTCTTTCTTTCTTTCTTTCTTTCTTTCT